CAATGCGGGTTCAGTCGTCCAATATTTCAAATGTTATTTACACAAATACGATTTGTGATGCTTTCCATAATGTAACTCTTTACTTAACACTAAGTTACAAGTTCTTCATTTTCACCGAATCCGTCTCGAATTACGTAAAGAGCTACAAGCTCACCATTTTCACCGAGTCCGTCTCGAATTAAGCAAAGAGCTACAAGCTCATCATTTCTATCGAGTCCGTCTCGAATTATGTAAAGGGCTACAAGCTCACAATTTTTACCGAGTCCATCTCGAATTACGCAAAGAGCTACAAGCTCATCAATGTTACCGAGTCCGTCTCGAATTATGCAAAGAGCTACAAGCTCACCATCGTNTTTACCGAGTCCGTCTCGAATTATGCAAAGAGNTGCAAGNTCATTATTTTTACNAAATNCGTCTCGANTTATGNAAAGAGCTACAAGCTCGTCATCATTTTTACGAAGTCCATCTCGGATTGTGTAAAGGGCAACATGCTCGTCGTTTTTATAGCTTGTATTAAATTAAATAAAAGATACAAGCTGGTCATTTTTATCAAGACCTTCTCAAATTAAAGCATTCGAACCAGATCCATCTTACCGTGAGTGCTTTTTTTTTCTTCTATTCTTTTTCGAGAGATGTGAACTTGTTATAAAAGAAATGAGCTTTCCTTAAAAAAAAACAGAAGAAGAAGAAATGAGCTTTGTGCAAATGCATGAAGTGGTTTGGTCCCATATGACGAGCCCAAAATGTTTAGTAATAATTCATTGAGAATAGATATTAAAGAAATACCATAGAGAATTTCGAAGCAAAAGATTATTTTCTTATTAAAAGTTGAGAATAAACCGAAGAAAGACAAGAGACCTGAAGGTCATAAAAAAAAGACATAGATAGTTGGGTATGAGCCCAATAAAGACATGAGACTCGAAGGCCGCCATGAGAGTAGGACATAGAATAGCATAAGTTCAAGCATCTTCCTCGATTCCTAAGACCTCGTTCTCTCGAATTTCGCCTAAGAGAACTCTTGCATTGGTCCCGAATTGATTAAAGGGGAGCATTGACGAAATGAACTCCACAGCTGTCTCGGGCCCAAGAGTAGAACCGGACACGAGACGCTCCAATAGAGACAGATCAAGAGGTGGAATCCTTACCTCAGCTTTGGAGAGTTTCTCTTTAGCTTCCACCTAAAATAATAAAAAAAATGTTAGGTCACGTAAAACAGAGTATCGGAAGATATGACATGATTGATCGTTACCTTCTCTAAGGAAACGGACTCGAGTTCAGCTTGAAAGTCCATGATCTCGCCTTTAACGATTTCCTCGAGGAGCTCGTAGTTAGCTTTCGTCTCGGAAGCCATGACAAGAGGCCCGCGTACAGCATCCCTCCCTGCCAAGTGTAACTTCACTTGACTAAGTATATCTTTGCATGTCGAGGCAATTTTGTTCTTGGCATCGCGAGCACCGTTCGTCACGTCTAACTCACGGCTATCAAAAAGCAATTTGTACTTGGCTTCGATTTCACCAAGTTCAGACTTCAACGACTCTTTGTCATTGGTTAGTTCGATCAAAACATTGCTAGCAACGGAAAGTTTTCCCTTATAATCGTCTCGAGAAATCTCAGCTTCTCGTAACTTGAACTCTAAGGCCCTAACCCTAGTGAGACGCTCCTCAGAAAGCTTTACGGCTTCAACGCTCTCTGTTGCTGCAGCACGCAAATTCTCAAGCTCAGCGTTAAGGGCAGTGGTACCGGCGTTTGCCTCTGAAGGATCAACTGGGGGTGAAACACTCTGGAGGCGACATTCGTATGAGTCAATAGTCCGATTGTAGGTGGCGATAAGCTACAAACACAAGATTGCTTGTCAGAAATAAAATAAAATATATGTTCGTATTTCTCAAAGAACGAAATGAACGGTAAGAAAGGAGCTACCTGCCCAGCGCACGATGCAAAGCTGTGATAATTCTCGTTATCTTCTCGAGCTAGCCTGTTAAACGGTGGAAGCCTGCACCCCGGCTTCCTAAAGTGTCTGAATAAATGAGCCGTAGTCCGGTATCCTCCGTGATTAAGTAGTTGGAGTTGAACTCGAAGTCCCAATAATACCGTAGCTTCTTCGCTCCACTCCAGGTTTTAACCCCATTCTCTGAAATCTTTCTCTTGTTCGGACCTGGTTGATTTCCTTCATCAGTATCACCAATGACCAAAGCGGTCGGGGCAGTTAGTTTCGACGACGATGCGCGAGAGGACCCGGCAGATCGTTTCACATTTGGGTTGCTCGAAGCAGGTATTCCCGAAACCAAGGAAAACCTAGGCCCAGTAGGAGCAACGACTGCAAGTTGAGCATCGCTGGGTTCAACGGGACATAGAGCACTCGGTGAAACGACCTGAGTGAGACCAGCTGCCTCCTTTGTCTTTTGGATTTTCCGTCCAGCGCGATAACTTGTTTCCGACATTATAACAAACAACCCACGGAAAATTGAAAGCAACCTTGAAAGGCAAATAGTCAAAACAAAGGAGATAGAAAAAGAGAAACAAGGAAAATATATTACCTCTTTACGAAGCAAACGTGATGTGAGCAAGACAATATAGAGAAGTACCTTTATACAAAGTCCTGAGCATGGAGAAGAAGATATCAAAAATTAAGATTTAATTCTGAAAGGCAATATTTGGAAAGTTTCCACTATTATCCTCTAAAGCTGAATATTAGGGACGTGATTCAAATCATGAAAATATACGAGCATTTATGTCAACGATTTTTTTAAGTCTTCCAATCAACATGACTTGAAAGACTTGGGGGGCAAACTGTTGGCCTTAGATTTGAATCCACAATAAAGCCTAATATGTTTATTTGGTCATTACGGCCCAAAAGGAGAAAGACGAGTAATTACGTTTCAAATTCAACTCAACAATTACGACCACCATTAATGGCGATTGAGCTGGAGCCGATATCAAGGGAGAGCGGAATTCTAGGAGGAGATTGGAATCAAAATGATTTGTAACAGGCGAATTAAAGGTGGTGAATTAATTGAGAAGGAATGGAGGATTTCGAGAGATGGAGTATAAAACCCAAGTGAGGAAGAACGTAGAAGGGGGCTTTTTGGCTGGGG